CCACACTGTCTTCCAAAGAGGCTGCACTAGTTTGCATTCCCACCAGCAGTGTAGAAGCGCTCCTTTTTCTCCACAACCTCGCCAGCATCTGTTCTATTTATTGATTTACTTATTTATTTTTAGAAAGCAGGATTTACTGAGAGGAAAGAAAAGCTCCCACAGTGGGAGGGGACCTGAAGGGGTGGCCCTGTTGTTTGTTTTATGAATGATGGCCATTCTTGCTGGGGTTAGGTGGTCTCTCAATGTGGTTTTGATTTGCATGTCTCTGATGAAGAGTGAGGCTGGCTCTTCCTCTGTTGCTTGCAAGGTTTTCAGTGAAGCACAGATGTGATGACTGCTTCTGATGGCTGACACTCAAAACACGTTTTTACCTGGGTGTTATATTTTACCACCCGAAGCTTCATTACCTTTAGCGGTTCAAAAGTTCTGTTTCCAGGCAAAACTTAGTTTCCAAAGGAGAACAGGAGTATTGGGGATAAACAGAATCCATCTGAGTTATGGAGGCTGCAATCAATCAAGTACTCCTCCAGGGGCTCGTGCAAATGAGCCAAGGCTAGTAGTGGGTTCAAATGCCAAAACGGGAGAGGCTACACACGGCAATTCCTGCAATGCCACTTCTAGGGGGAGTCCAATGTCAAACAAAAAGGGATGCAGAATGTCAATAACAGGACATTGTACAGAAAATGGGTAGAGGGGAAAACCTGGGGGGAAAGAAAGAACGGGAGAAAAGAAAGAATACTGTTGGGAACATACCCGGGGAACACAAACCATTCTACAAAAAAGATACCTGCACACGCATGTTTATTGCAGCGCTATTTACAACAGCAAAAACACGGAACCAGCCTCACCGCCCATCGAGAGTGGACTGGATAAAGACAGTGTGATACATACACTATGGAATATTACGCAGCCATAGAGAAGGACAAAATCACGGACCTCCCAGCAAATCGGATGGAACTGGGGACAACCATTCTTAGCGATCTGTCCCAGAAACGAAGAGTCGGATGTCCCATGTTCTCGCTCATAAGCAGGACCTGAACGTCAGCCACCATGGCACAAGGGAGAAATCGGCAGTCTCGGGACACTGCCGGGGGAGGGAGGGAAGGGTGGGCATGCACCCACACAAGGGGCACCTAGTCCTAAACCAAGAGAAGCGAGGACCAGCTGGAGGCCCAAACTTCACCTGCACCTGCGTGACTTATGTGCCTAATCCTCACTTGAACCCCACATCTTTGTAATAAAAGAAAGTAGGAAAAAAAAAGAACATACGTTGCTCTAAATGCATAACATGATGAGCTTGCATGACCTACTCAAGACTTACCAGGTCTGAGAACTTTACAAACACTGGAATACAAATTTAACAGAAACAAATACAATTCTGGAACTATCACTAGGAGGAAAACATGAGCCTACTCTTAAGCTAACAGCACCACCTGCATGACTTTGGAAAACTAGCTCTTTCAGATATATCCTGTGAGTCACTTAAATACCTAGAAAGTAATAAGACACATAATAAAACAGAAAAGGGGCAGAATTACAGCCTGAGCAACAGACTCAAAGTTCCATGAATACATTTTGGACCTTGATTTAGGTTACTCCAGATTTCAAACAAAAAATAAAATTGTGAGGACCGGGAAATCCCTCCGCCCAGTCAGAGAGGAAGGTAACTTCAGGGAAAGGCATCTCACTGAGCGCTGGTCTGAGGAACACTTAGAAAGTCTCCCTCAAGTGTGTTGGTCATACCACAGTGTCCACCCACAACTGCTGGCAGTTTAGTTCTGGAAGGTGTGTCCAGCGCTGGGACTCAGGGTTTCTCTCACTGGGGAGCACCTGCCATAGTCTTGACTTCTCAAAAGGGTGGGGATTCTGTCTGGGGGGGGGGGGGCAAATCTGAATCCCTGGGTGTAAAGCAGCTAAAAATCAAGTGTAGTTTTTGATAAGTTGGGTCCATGCAAAAGTAGTGAGACCTTTTGAAATCACGATGTAATTTTGTGTGTATTCATCTGGAATGTGTACAATACTTAACCTTAATGCTTAATACATAATACTTAATCTCTGCATTATAAAATAATTTGCTAGATTACAAATGTTGCTAGGTGTTTATGAAGATTATATTTGTCAAAATCGCAAATTTGTCTGATTAGGGTGAGGAAGAGAACAAAACGTATTAGTTCTGTCATTATAAGTTGATATGTCTAAAGAAACTCGACTGATTAAACGCAGAAATGTGAGAGCGCTGTCAAATGTATGAAAACGAAATAATCGAAGAAGTAAAAATGATGTAATTTTTAGAACTAGAATATTTGTAAATAAGATCTGTACATTGATTAAAACAGGTTTAAAGTGAAAATACAGCTCAAGATTAAAGAATCTTAAAGTTTAAGATTTATATTAACTTTAAGCACAAACTAATACAAAGTCATTGTGATATGCCTATGACCAAATGATATTCCTATGACCAAAATCTCCCCATGGGTATAAAAAGCCCCCGGGCACTGGTGAGTAGGACTAAGAGCAAATCTGTGCCGAGCGCATCTCTGGGAGCCTAGATCGTGCATGGAGGCTAGATGGGGAGCCCAGGAGAGGACACTCCCACGCCCATCACAGCTGGAAGGTGGGAAATGACACCAACACACACACCATTTTATGACTGTAGTTGGAGGCGTGGTGACACCTCAAGTGGCTGACACTGCAAGATACTCGAGTTTTAGATCGTACCTGATCTCAAACCAGGCAAAGTGGGGCCAAAGGGAGGTCCAAACTTTATCTGTATGACGACCACTTGTATACCTAATCCTGAATTGCACCCCCCATCTTTAAAATAAGATAAAATACATTTTTTTTAAAAAGAAGAAGAATTCTGTACCGCATGAAGATCAGATTGCCTCCAGTAGCGAAGCATGTTAGTTCTGGGCATGCATTAATTAGGCATCAATGTATTCGAATGAACTTGACCGTGACACCATTCAGAAGCCACATTCAAGACCACCACACCACCATATATAGGTGCAGCTGCTTTCCAAGGAAGAAGTTGTCCTTGGGTAGTTAATTTGAATTTGGAAGGACCATCTTTATACTGGATGCCAAAGGTGAAGCTAACATTAGAAAACACACTTCAAACTTTATTCAAATGCAAATTATGCAGCAGATTACTTTTTAGATAGCTGTTTAGTACATTCAGTACTTACAAACTCTTTTTTTTTTTTGAGCCGGAGTCTCACTCTGCTGCCCAGGCTGGAGTGCAGTGGCACAATTATGGCCACTGCAGCCTCGACCTGCTGGGCTCTGGTGATCCTTCCGCCTCAGCCTTCCAAGTAGCCGGAACTACAGGTGTGCACTGCCATGCCCGGCTAATTTTTTGATTTATTGTAGAGACGAGGTCTTGCTGAGTTGCCCAGACTGGTCTCGAACCCTGGACTCAGGCAATCCCTCTCGCCTCGGCCTCCCAAAGTGCTGGGATTACAGGCTCGAAGCCATCTTACCGGCCTTACAAAGTTCTACAGTTGGTTAATATTTCTAAGATTAGATAAAAGTGGGATTTTTATACTAATCACTTTCTTTGACACCAATAAAGAAACAAATGTGAGGATTAAAAACTGGAATTAATTTTTTAAAATTTTCTTACTATTTAAAAATGATTTTTAAAATGTTGTTATTTAAATTATGATTAAAAAATCTTTTAAATCATACATTTTATTTTGATAACTTCTGAAATTCATCACTTGGAAGCATTTAATTCAGTTAAAATGATAGGTTTTTTTATACGTTCAGTATTTACAATTCAAATGAATGCTTTTCCAAATTTTCATTTTCACTCCATTCTAACTTGTATTTTAACAGCAATCTAAGTGTCTCAGTTATTAAGTCATTTAAAAATAGATTTAGAAGTCATGAGATAAAGTCAAATGAGTTAAAAAAACTTGGAATTGCTTTCAAAGTTATACATATCACCCTCGAACCAAACATACAGATTAATTTCAAATGTCAAATGAAATGACTACGCAAAGCACTTATGAAAATGCCTAAACTAACCAAGGGTAAAAGTGGCAAGAAGGTGGTCAATGATTAAGGACAACTTAGAACATGATAAAAGCATAAACAGACTTTATGGAGAATGGATTAATACTCATAATTCGGAAGTAACACAGCAAAAACGTTTTCCTGTGTATACCATGTGTGATGACCAGGCCCTGTTATTTCACATTCTTAGTCACTCTCTCCCGAACCAGTAAAAAGTGTTTACAGCTCTAGTCTTCCACTTCTTAGAACACTGGAGCAGGGACAGTAAGACAAAGGCGCTCTCCACTGACATGAAATAAATCAGGCTAAATGTCAGCTTCCTCAACTCTCTATGAGGATAAAGCAGAGCACATAAATAAGAAATAAGCCCCGACCATGGCCTTGCTAAGCTATGGTGTGGTCATGTGCCCTTTGAGCTCTGGCCAGGCCATGTTTCCTGGCTTTGGCCTCCCCACCCACCTTGGGGAGGTGAATCTCCCCTTTCTCATTCTCGCTCTCTCCAATTTGCTTTCTAAATAGACTATATTTTCTAACATTAAAAAAAAGGTAAGAAATAACCACCAAAGAAGTAAAAATGAATTTGGTAATACTGGTAGTTCATGATTTTGAACTATGGATTTAGGAGATTTCCCACGGATTTCAAATTTGCTGTACCATCAGACCCATGATGTCAGTACCATTTCTCCAGCATTAATAATTAATTATTATCATATGTGAAGTCATCGTGATAAAATGACAATATCATACAATGTCAAAGAATTATTTAAATGACTTACTTTCTTCTTTCTTGCTAATAATGGCAGGCAGAGTATAAATCTAAAAAACAAACCAAAGGTGTCCATCGGTTAATGACAGTGAGTGACCCAGCGCAGAAGATCGTGAGGTGAGATGCAAGGGAGCGTCTTGATGTTAAGGTCCCACATGGCTGTGCCTACAGTGCCACCTGTCCACCCTGTGGCCAGCTCCCCTCTCTATCCCCGGCTCTCCTGCCTGGACGAGGGTCGATCCCTTTCCATCTGTGCATCTCATGCCCTTTGCCTGAGTGACGCATGGCACGCCCTCCCTGGAAGCGTCTCCCGAGGGCTCCTTTTCCCCGCTCCCTGCTGAGCGTGTACTCTGTATGCACAATCCTTACTTGTACATTGTTGGGTTCACAAATGGCCCCTTACACGAGCTCTAGGTCAGGGGTTCTCCCTTTCTAATGAAGAGCCAGGTTAAAAAAAAAAATCTATCATTCACATTTTTGTAAAATTGAAATAGAAAACAACAAAGAATTCATGAAAAGGCCCAATTTTTTCTTAATTTTTTTTTTTTTTTTTTTGAGTTGGAGTCTCACTCCATCGCCCAGACTGGAGTGCAATGGCCGCTCCTGGCCACCGCAGCCTCAACCCGCTGGGCTGCGGCCATCCTTCCGCCTCAGCCTTCCAAGTAGCTGGAACTACAGGCGCGTGCTACCACACCCGGCTAACTTTTTGATTTATTGTAGAGATGAGGTCTCGCCAAGTTGCCCAGTAGGGTCTCGAACCCGCGGGCTCAGGCAATCCATTCACCTCAGCCTCCCAAAGCATGGGATTACAGGCTGAGCCACCGAACCCGGCTGTTTTTCTTAATTTTAACAGACTTAAAATGACACTTTCGAGCAGCGATACAATCTTCTGAAAGTTTCCTCATAATTTCTGTACTCATCTTACTGCGAACTGGAAAACAGTGTGAGGGAAGGCCTCTAAGTCTGCAAACCACACTTCGTAGGGCACGGATGCTCTGCTCAAGGCTGGTCATAGGTTCTCTGCCATCTAAGGATGGCTCCCAAGTGGCAGGATGGGCCCCCCTCACTGTGGGCTCATCTCCCCACCGACCTCGTAACCGTGTTCAGTAAGAAAACAGACAGCGATGAATGGTTTATCCTCTTTTTTCAAAAGCCTGCCGAATATTTGTGGGCAAGTTATCCCACTAATATCAGAATAGCTATTAGAAAAATGGAGGTGGGCAGGGAGGGGGAAATGTCCAGCCATGGGCCGTTTTATCAAATTATACTTTTTTTTTTTGAGTTGGAGCCTCACTCCGTCGCCCAGACTGGAGTGCAGTGGCACACTCACGGTCACCCCAGCGTCGACCCGCTGGGCTCTGGCAATCCTTCTGCCTCAGCCTTCCAAGGAGACGGAACTACAGGCGTGCGCTATCACACCTGGTTAATTTTTGATTTATTGTAGAGACAAGGTCTCGCCAAGTTGCCCAGGCTGGTCTCAAACCCACGGGCTCAGGTAATCCACTCGCCTCGGCCTTCCAAAGTGCTGGGATGACAGGCTGAGCCACCGAGCCCGGCCTAAATTGTCCTTTAAAAAATGGTCTAGGCAAGAAGGTAGGTTTCTCACCTGAACCGTGTTCATTGCTCTGATCAGCGAGCCGAGCACAGGCCTTGCAGAGATTGGGCTTGTGATAATCAACTGAATAAAATAATCGAAGGAGTGCAGCCAGATGAATGAGTATAAATAATTTATAAAAGGTAATTTTAGGGTTTCAAACCAGTCGTGGAAGCCCCCCCGAGAATCAAATCTCAAAGCTGAAGTTACGTGACCTGGGTGAGACCCCACTGGAAAACAGGAAAAGCGTCTACTCCTCTTATCTGCTGTTTCAATATCTTCAATTATTCACAGACCAACACTTTTCCACGATGAGAAGAAAGTTCTGATGTACTCTGTAATCATTAGAAGAAGAAAATCTAAATGATAGAAACTGTCATATTCTTACCGGTTCCTTTCCATCCATGGCTTCAAGCCAGAGCTTCCTGTTGGCTTCTGAGAAGGCCTGTAATGTGATGATCCCATGCCTGTGGACAAAAAATATTGTGTCTATTCAATTTATTCCTGTTACGTCTTCACACATGTACTAATTTCTAAGTCCTGAGCTAACTACAAAGGTGAAATTTGAAAAGAAAAATCAACGAAAACTCACAGAAAGGTTTTTACTTTTAATGATCACAGGTAGCAAAGTCATTACATGTTTTAGGTGCAGCCCTGTCAAAAGAAGGCTACATTCAAGTTATTTTCCCTGAAATGATCAAAAAGGATGATTACATGACATTCACCAAAGTTCAAGACCATCTAAAAATTCTATAACATGAACGATTACGGTATGACCCTGGTGTGGCGTCATCTAGTCACTAAAAACAAAGACCACGAGTGTGTAGCAGCGTGGGAAGCCTCATATCATAACTAGTTAATAATTTAAAAGACACTAGACCAAAGTGTTCCTCTTCTACTGTGATCACAATTTTAAAATTAACTCATTTAAAAACAATTCTCTCCCATGCAGTCATCCTGAAATAGTTACTTTTGAGGATGTGCTTCAAGAAAGAGAGGCCGGGCCCGGTGGCTCAACCTGTCATCCCAGCATTTTGGGAGGCCAAGGAGAACAGATTTCCTGAGCCCGTGGGTTTGAGACCAGCCCAGGAAACTTGGCAAGACCTCATCTCTACAATTAATCAGAAAAATCGGCCGGGCGTGGCAGCACACGCCTGTAGTTCTGGCTACTTGAAAGGTCGAGGTGGATGAATCGCCAGAGCCCAGCAGGTCGATGCTGGGGTGGCCGTAAACGTGCCACTGCACTCCAGCCTGGGTGACGGCGTGAGACTCCAACTCAAAAAAAAAGTGCATACATTTCTTGGGCACCCCCAGTCCATGCCCACGACAAGGTATTCCTACTAGGACAGTGGCAATGCAGGAGAAGAGAAATAGACCATGGAGGACAGAGAGCAGGAAGCATAACCCCTCATATTTTCTTTCTAATGGCCCGGGTACAATAAAGCCGTAGAGCGAAATAATCCCACTAGACTGTCAGCTCGGATGCCTGACGCTGGTACCTCTCCCAACACCCCGGACGGTACTTTACACACGGCGGGCCTCCCAGAGGCATTGAACTTGGCTGAAAGCAGCTGACAGTGTTCCCCCTGCGTCTTCTCATTCCGTGGAAGCAAGATGATCAGGCTTCAACAGCCCCAAAAAGGCTGACCCTGGAGCCACGAAAAATGCTGCCAAATTCTCTCACAGTGACGGAAACCTCAAGGCCACCACACCCACTTTTCCCTAATACAGCCGCTTGTATTGGTTTTCTAGATCCTTCTTGAATAATACTACTTGTTGCTAGCATTCCATGTCTGATGTGCTTTTTTTTTTTTTTTTTTTTTG